GACCTTGTGGTCTGCTCTGTAACACTTCAGAAAAACACTCTGTTTTGGCTGTTCTTCATGCTCCTTTCTGAGCATGGCAAATAGAGGTTCTTGTCTCTCTCTGAGGTAAACATGAACATTCTAGATTGGGGAGGGATGAAGGAGGCCGAGTGATGGCTGGAGAAGATTAAAGGTAGAGAAGAGAAGAGCTGAGAGAAGGCTAAGAAAATGACTCTGCCTAGACTCCAATAGCCAGAAAAAGGATTGCCTCAGCTTGTATCTGAAAGTTTCCTTGTATGTAGTCAGCCTGAAGGGAACAAAATGGATGCTGAAGGAGAAGATGACACATTCCATAGGTCTATCCTCCATTCTTGCTATGAATAGCATATTCTTGCATCCTGCAAACTTTTTCAACTATAACAAACCCTTACAATTGAAATCAAGCTTCAGAAGAACACATTCTAATATATGAGATATTATTTTCCCACCGGGGTCAATGTCACTTCAAGCATACTAATACCAGACATGTCCAATTAGCACCCTCTGCACACACACACACACACACAAACAAACACACAGAGGATTTCCACTTTTCTAACTACTTACTAACATTGGGGAAGAGTAACTCTAGGCATCTTACACACAATTCCTTGATTGTATTCAAATGGGGCTTAGGGGTTTAAAATCCTATAAGTTCTGGATTCCCTTATCCCACCCAGCCACAAAAGATGCAGGGAAAAAGGTAAACAAGAAAGGTACTTTCACAAGAGGCATTCATACCAAATAAATGTTATTATGGGAAAGTGGCAATTAGGATTCCCTTAATTATCTGTCATTTTGTATTTATCATCGTAATGTTTGCTTTACAATGCTTTATTAAATCTGGCTTGATGACAAACAGTCTGCTGGCAGTGTATCCTGCTGTGTAACATATGGTGTTACACCTAATGAATATTAATGCTCTGAAGTACAAATGGTCTTTAGGGACCCTCACTGATGGCTGGGAAACTCCAGCAGATTGCCATTATTATGCAGGAAGGTTGCTTCTCACCAGTCTAGTTCAGAGATGCTGGTAGCTTTTTGCCTGCCAATTTGTTTTCTGTGACTATCACTGGTGCGGCTAAATAAATAAATAAATAATCAGTCAATCAATCAAGCTGGCAGATCCCAGGGCTCATAGTTTAGTGTGGGCAAGAAAAGTCAGAAGTAGGTCATAGCTCAGTGGTAGACCCCTGTGTTTTGAATGCAGATGATTCAAATGTTCGGTCTCTTCCATCTCTTGGGCTGGGAGAGACCTCTGTCAAAATACCTGGGGATCAACTCCTGGCTAATTTACCTAGTGCTAAGCATTGATTAGCCACTGGTCTAAGGCAGCTTCCTTAGTCCCTGTATGGGAACCAAGCAGACCAGATACCTTCAAAATATAAGTGCCAGCTATGTGGGCTGCATGGCCCATACAAGTCCTGTGTTTGCTACAATCAAAGGTATGGGCAGGCAAAGCTGAGCAATGGATCAGTGAGTGATGGAGCTGCCAGTGTATGCAGATTCTAAACATGCAAATAATTCAGACTGAAATTCCCAGGTGTCAAAAAAGGTTATTTATGTATGCCACTATTGTGGCCCGTGTTTTGTTAGCCCCCAAATGGAAAACAAGAGAGGTCCCAACCAAAGAAGAATGACAACTTAAATTGACAGAATACGCACAGCTTGCAGATTTAGCATATATAATAAGAGAACAAGAAGAACATATGTTTAGAGAAGATTGGAAAACATTTATTGAATATATGTGAAATAACTGTACAGCTGAAAACGCTGGCAGCATTAAGTTAAATTCAACAGTGTAAACAAGTTTTGATGGATGTAATAATGGATTACTGAATGGGATAGTTTTCTAAAACATTCAGGAATTTATGATATGCAAAATAAACCATCCTTATATCTTAAGAATGTAAAAATGAGTACTTTACATTGTAAAACAGAAAAAAATATTAATACATATATATAACAATACTAGTAACCAGTGATTTTTTTCTTTAGAAAAATGTTTAGGGGTACTTTCATTTTGACTCAAGAAAATCACCATTTTATAGTTCAAATCAGGAAAAATAAATACACTAAATGGACAAAAGTACAAAGATTCACAAAATGTTTAGGGGTATGCGTCCCCCCAGAAAAAAACACTGCTATTAACACGCATAATAACACACATGAATTCACACACACACACACACACACACACACATGTCCTGGACCCTTCTGTAGCTGTTTCTCCTTAAAGGACAGGGTCTTCCCCAACTCTACAAAGCGTGTTCTCCTTCATGGAGAGCACGTGTTGCGGTGGGGGCCGCCAGGACACTCCAAAGTTGGGGGGCGGGCTAATTGATCGTTGGCCACTGATGCGATTGGGGCGTCCCTTGTTGTTGGGAAGAAGTTAATGTTGCCATTTATTGATTGACAGCCAGAAATAGTAAAACTCCTTACACGAGGCTAGGGCTTCCTCTTTTCGCCCGTGCATCGGATTGCCCGTCCCTCCCTCCCTAGAATAGGGTTGTTCGCTTTGACCTTGCTATGCCTGTCACGGGGTCGTCTGCTTTGGAGCGGGGGCCTGGTAGGAATTTTGTCCATCTGGCTGATTGGCTGGGGCCATTTGGTTTTTGCCTACTGCGTAGCAAATCATCACAACTTGTAAGGTTCGCGGTTAGGCATTGGTTTATGGTTTGGTTGGTTGAGGGGCATGGATTGGCTGTGCCTGCCCCTCTAATGCTGCTGCTGCTGCAAGGGATTCCGTTAAAGGAATTAGGAACTAACTATTGCTTGTCCACTCTGTCAAGGGGGCTCGGGCCATAGCAATGAGCTCCTGGTTGCATTTGGGGTGAGGGCAAGTTCCCTGCTCCGTGTAACTCCCAAGTGTATTCCCCCATTCTGACTTTCGCATCGTGCGGAATGTCAGTCTGTCCCCCATGGTGGGGGCAGATAGTCGCAACCAATGCCTACGCAACCACTCACAAATTTGTATTTTAATAAAGTTGTGGCCAAAATTATGCCAAAAATCTTAAACAAAAACTTCTGTGTGATGTGTGAGTTATTGGGGTGGACCTGGGGACCTCGACACGCAATTCTATGATTTCACAAGTCCATGTTGCTTGCTAAGTCTGTAGCAGTTCTTCATAATAAAATCATGCCAACTAGCTAGTCAGTTTCCAGTGATTCCCTCCCTCCCTCCCTCCCGTGCCCTTTGTACCTCAAAGAAACGTGATGTATAAGTCCTGCTGAAATGCTGCTAGTCACCTTCCAAACTTTTATAGCTAAGATCTAAACCCAAACAAGTATTCCTTCACTCATGCATACCCTCTGCTGCCCTGTGTCTTGGAGGGGAATTTGTGAAGAAACCTTCACAATGGTTTTATTGCAGCTGTGGACACTGCTTCTGCTGTATAAAGTGAGACCTGTGGTTTTCACCAATCTCTTTACCTACTTCAGCCCTCTGTGTGATAGCCCATATAGTTCCAGAGGGCCCCAATTTACATGTGTTACAAATGGAAGTCAAGAACTCTGTAGCTGTTAATAAGGGAGTAAGATCACGACTGAATGTAATTGGATTAAATAAGATTTTTGAAGCAGGAAAAAATAAGAACTTTGCACCCCGAAACCAAGCACACGGGAAGTCACACAAATTTTATAATTGGCTTTATAATTGATATATATTTTGATATGAATTGTAATTTGACATTGATAAAATGTGGCTGTTATTGGATTTTAGAAATTAATTAATAAATATAATATGTATATACAGAGAGAGAGAGAGACAGTGTGTGTGTTCCAGAGGGCCCCAACACTCAGGAGCAGATTTTGGGAGGTGGGCCTCAATAAAGAAGCAAGAATCATCACTGAATACAGCCCTATTGCTATTGCTATAGCTATCTATCCGCAAATAGTCCGTGCAAAAACTCTTCACAATGCATTTACAAATGAGTCACCTCTAAAATAAACTAGATCTGAAGCTTGGCCTAGAGATCAAAATATCTACATCTCATGAGCTCTTCCACAGGTCAGGCATTCTTCCCTATTGACATTAGTAATTATTTCACCCCTATTTTATTTAAAGGTTCTTTTCCGCACCAGGAATTATCATCCTGACAGCTCCTGCAAAAATCAATGCTGATTAACTGTATGAATTCCAGTAAGAAACTCCCATAAAAAATAACTTATGCTATTTTGCTATCACAGCAACAAACCAAACATATTGATTGCTGTAGGCAAGACCCGATATCTCCCCTCACACACTTACCTGCTCACACTCACTCACACATGCCCGACTTCCTAAACAGTTGCAATCTCCAGCAAACATCTGAAGAACTAATTAAATGACAAATTAGAGCAATCTATTTATTCTTGAAGAGACAGCAAATAGTGTCATATCTATTAAGATATCAGGACCAAAGGGAAGCACAAATGAAAAGGGATAAAGCAGAAGGATTTCCTTTTTGGTACATGTTTGTGGTCTTTCATTTGAAAATTATTGCCTACACCGCCAGTGAATATGTGGTATGATCTAACAATCCAAGGAGAACAAGGGACATGATAATGGAATTAGCTTTCGTACAGAAGCATTCTCAGTTATAATTCCAAGCTGCAAATCCTTGGCAAGGCCTTGAGATCCAAGCTTAAAAGTTGTCCTGCCTCGGTTCTTTGGTTCTTAGTACTGTTATGCACCTCTGCCATTTGGCAGGCGCCTTTCCCAACTGAGTACATGCTCTCATTAAGCTTGAAGCCAAATTGGCTGTCGTCCTTTTGTTTTCCCATTCATATACTAACACCATCAATAATGCAAGTAAAAGTCATATGAAGGAAGACTCCACATCCAGTATTTAAAATACGATTAGGCGTGTCATGGACACAAGCTGAACACCTAATTAATGAACTGTTCACGTATTGGCTAAAGAGCAGAATAATGTGGGGAAAGAATAATTTTTTTTTTTAACAACAAAGCAAATATAAATTCTATATTACTAATTGGAATAGCTCAGTCAGCTCTGGGATAGCTCAGTTGGTAGAGCATGAGACTCTTAATCTCAGGGTTGTGGGTTCAAGCCCTAGATTGGGCAAAAGATTCCTGCATTGTAGGGCATTGGATTAGATGATCCTTGTGATCCCTTCCAACTCTGCAATTCTATGATTCTATGATTCTAAATCTCATCAAAGCTAGCTGGAGGCATATGTAGGTGGACTAACCAAATCATAGAGAATATTGAGATTCCTGGACAGGCCTTCTCTACATACCCATTTCTGTCTCTCGCTTCCCTTGTTAGGGCTCCCCATGAAAGCTTTGGTTTCTTTGCTACTCTTTATACTCCATATAAGAGAGTTAAGTTGTCCATTAAAGAGCAGATCCACACAGTGCATTTTAATACAGTTCATTAATTCTACTGCATGGGGAATGAACTTATAAAGACTGCAGATTGCTGTTAGATTGGAAGGGGTGCAAGGAGAATTTAAAAGAATTTACCATCTTGTTACTTCAGTTCTGCCACTTGGCCTGCAATATGTACTGAGTTATTGAAACAACTAAAGGAATGATCAAGCCGCTGCAGGACTGTTATATATGAACTTATTCATGTGGGCCTAAGTAGCATACTGTGATTAAAATGAACAAGTCTGACTCTGCCATTCGGTCTTCCTGGGCCCATGTCTAAAGGAGCACTACAAATGATGGGCAGTCCTTTTATTGCTGTACCACATGGAAGAGGGACTCTTTGCTCTAACCCAGTAGCAGTTGTGGAGTGTTTGAAACCTACAAAAGCCTTGTAAGGCATGTATTATTATTTCCATATTTTGAGAGACAGAGGGGTAATGCTAGGAGCTGACACCTTGATTGAGACTTACATTGAGGCTAACTTGACAGAAGGCTTCCCACAGCTTCCCACAGCTATCTCATGTTCTTAGCTACATCTGTTCTCAGTATCACCATAGAACATTTCAGGCATATGCTCTACATAGGCAGTAAATGTGGGGGCACATAGTGCTTCCATGGGTTAGAAGCGTGAGTCAGGTCAGTGAGGAGTTGCGCCTTCAGTATTGTGGGCCTAACTCCATGGACCTCCTTCTCATAAGAAGTTAACTGGTGCTAAGATGGTCAAGTTTATATATCATTACAATATCCCAAGGGAAAAGTGATGAACCAGGTTTTTGAAGCAGATTTCAGACATAAAACACACACTCTTTTGCATTTTGAAGTGAATGGCTATTGCTTGCCTGGATAGAGGATGTGTATGTGTGTGTGTGTGGTGTGTGAAACTGGGTGTAGAAATTGGACTACTGTACAAAGGTAAAATACATACTCATTGCTCCACCCAGTCTGGCCTCTTCCCCCACCCACCATTGGCATGTGACTACAGTTGCCTTACATCCAAAATTTCCTGGACATAGCCGGCAACTGGCCATCGGAAACAGTACCCAGACAGAAATCTGGAAATTATGGACATATGGCAACCCATGCTGGCAGTGTTGCATTTGGCGATTTCCCTTATAAATAAGCTCAAAAACTTCAATGTTTTTCAACAATCTTGCCCCCCCAATAAAGCTTAACAACTTTGCCCCCCCCCCCAAAGCTCAATAACCTTTCTGTCTGGATTTTCACTTTTTGAAATATGGCAATGCTACATGTGACCCTCCCCGAAGGTTTCCCTGAAGGTCCCCCCCCCCCCAAGGATTGTGCTCAAACTACTTTTCTGTTTCACAGTAGTGCTACACCTCTGGGATACCTCTGACATCACTACTTTGCTTAGAAATCAATGGTAGTCTACAATAACCTTCCTCAACCTGGTGCCCTCCAGATGCATGTGCTGGCAGGGTTTGATGGGAGTTGTAGCAAACAACCTCTAGAGGACACTAAGTTGTGTAAGGCTTATCAAAAGTAAGAGAATAACAGCGGTGACCCGTTTTCCCCACCTCTTAGCTGAGTATAAGAGGGATGATCTATGCATGCTGTTGATCTAAAAGGAGCTAAAACATAAATTGCTATTACTATGCAAAGGGGGTTGGACAGCTTGATGATTGCTTCATCTAAATAATTCCAGGAGCTCTAACGATAATGGAAGAAATGTCCTCAACCCAATTGCAAAGTCAAAATTGTGTTAGTGCTGATTACTTGCTTACAGGTTCCTACACAGCTGAAATATAAGGAATTCACTATACTGAACAAATTCAATATCTAATTCAATTAACTTACATTCTCTGTGATTGAATAATGGAACAAGGTGTAAAGAAAACTGAAGGGTGAAGATATTATATTAATAATTATATATTGAAACTGTGAATCACACCCAAACTGTTATATTCTTATAGATGTATATATAATAATAAAAAAATCTATGAGCTATATTTTATATTGCCAGTACTTATGCCTATATCCAGAGAATAAAACTAAAAATGTAACCTTAAATTTTACAGTCTTTTTAATAGTGGAAGAATAATGGTTAAAAGTTGCAAAGTGCATGAAAAAGCTTGTGATGGAGGTTCCTGTAAGAGTCATTGGCCTGGATCCAAAAATAAGTTAAGGAAGTTCACAGCTACCTGCACCTCTAAAAAATGTCTGTGGATGTAAGCAGTCCTTCTTAACAATGGAAGATGCCTACAGTGCTTTTTTTCTGGGGGTACTCAGGGGTATGCAGTACCGGCAACATTTCCCTGCCAGATGTTAAAAGTGTGGCACTTATTGTAAAAACATCATGGTGAGTACCAACACACTTTTTTCTATATATATAAAAGATGGGACTTGGGGGGCGAGAATGGATAATTACCCAAAATCAAGGGTGTGCCTGCAGGAAGCAGAGACAGGACTAGAAATTTTCCTTCTGTAAACTTTCTTAAGTTAACTTATCTTGGAATCCAGCACATTATTGACAAGGGAAACACTAGAGATGGGCAGAGAAGTTTGGGTCATTGATTGACTAAATATGGCTTGTAACATCGTCAAGATGATGTCAGCTCAAATATTTATATAAGGTAACAGTAAATACTAGGGGTATGTACATACGGGCTACAAGGTCCACTTTTTTCTGTATCTGTGCATTAAAATATGCAGATCTCTTTCTGAGTCACTCTGTGCTCTCTGCAGTTCAGGTTCTGAACCAGTCTGTCGAAAACAAAGCCCTGTGTTCCCCATTTACCATAATGAGGAATCTAAATATGGCTATAACTTTCCCTGCTTTTGGCCCACATAGATGACATTTACAGGCACAGGAGCCTCTCCAGAGTGGATTGTGCCTGCCAAATTGCAGATGAATAGGTCCAGGGACCTTTTGTTGAGGACAGTAAAAGGGATTCATTTTCCTCCATAATCTGTTATGGAAGAGGGGAGCAGGAGGTTGCTTCTCTCACACATGTTCAGGAAACCTTTCGTGGTTTTGTGTGTAAGGGGCTTGTATGAAATTTTGATGCAGAATTAATCTCCCAGGTTTCAAGACACAGTTGTAAAATTAATCTCTGTACAGAATGTTCTTATTATCAATGTATGTTTGACTATGACTATATCAAGTTTCAGTTTTTGTGTGTGTTGTGGAAGTACAATTTTCATGTTCTTCTCAGTGTGGACTATTTATTGTAATCCTATTTAGTTTAAACTATGTCCAGGCTTTATTGAGCATTTGTTCTGATTTGTTTGGTAGTTGGACAATGAGCATCAACTGCGATTTGCTTACAGGATGTTTATACTTCTACCTTTTAATCATTCATTCACCCTACACTTTCCAGGACATTTCCCTGTCACCTTCCTGTGGCCCTCCAGATGTTGCTAGACTACAACTCCCAACAACACAGAATCATAGAACTGTAGAGGCCAGGAATCTTAACTAAAGCATCCATGACAGATGGCCATCCAACCTCTGCTTAAAAACGTCCAATGAAGGAGAGTCCACCACCTCCCGAGGGAGTCTGTTCCACTGTCAAACAGCTCAATATCAGAATGTTTAGTCGGAATCTCCTTTCTTGTAGGTTGAAGCCATTGGTTTCTGGTCCTACCTTCCACAGCAGGAGAAAACACGCTTGCTCCATCTTCCATGTGGCAGCCTTTTATATATTTGAAGATGGCTATCATATTTCCTCTTATCCAGGGTAAACACACCCAACTCCTTCAATCATTCTTTATAAGGCTTTGTTTCCAGAGAGTTGATTATCTTGGTCGCCCTCCTCTGCACATGTTCCAGCTCTTCACTATTCTTCTTAAATTGTGGTGTCCAGAATGGGACACAGTATTCCAGATGTGGACTGACCAAGGCATAATACAGCTATACTTTACTTCCCTTGAGTGTGACAGTATACATCTGTTGATGCAGCCTAGAATAGCATTAGATTTTTCTGCTTCTGCATCAACATCTGGAGAGCCAAAGGTTTCCGATCTCTGTGCTAGGGCAAAAGTGAACTTTAATCCACTTTAATTGCACAACCCTTAATTTCTGGTATGTGCTTTAATCTGAGATGAACAATTTTTTAGCACAATTCTTCATATGCCTACTGAATATTGAATTCAATGGGCTTACTCCTGGATAATCATTAGATATAGTACTGCAGCCTAAATATTTGCACATTTTACTACCTAGTGAAATATAAAGAATTGATATACATGATGACTTTATTTCCTCTCAATATCCTTTGGCATGTTCATTTTTTAGAAAATAAAATAAAATAAAATATTGGCAGTCCAACTCTTTCTCATTGTGTACATGAAAAATCTTTGCAATTTCACAGTACATTGGTTTCTGCTTTGTTATCTAAATCATAATTAGAAAATAGCAATCATCAAACAAGGTGGGCCATTGTAAACCAAAAATGTAGATCAGCAGTAATATTCATTTTAAATTCTCAATGCCCAGTTAAATGTTTACATGCTTAGGCTGCAGCAAATATGTGTTATCTGAAGTTGCTGGATGCGGAATGGATTATACAGATACCTAGATGCTACCAAGAGCTAATGAAAAGGGGAACAACTATATGAAAGGTTTTCTTTTTTCTTTTTTAACAAGCATTGTGATACGTCTGGAGTCTGGACCCACCAGAATATCAGAGCCCTGCTGGATTGGACCAATCTAGTGCAGCATCCTGTTGTGGT